TCTTCCTGTTGGATTCTTCTGGGATTCTGTGTTTCTTTCCCGTAGCCCGTGTCCGGTGAGCCTCGCTGCCGGCCCAGGCATGTCCCTGGCTTCCTTCGTAAAAAGACGGCAAGCTGGGCCGGCATCCTGGGTACTTGACAACTCCCACAAGGAATAAGGTTCCTGTCACAGAGAAAGGCTATCCTTTGAGCCTTTCGACTTTGATGGTTCAGTGGCTTTTGTATTATTATGACCTGTTTCTAAGGCACCGATGGAGACCAGGGCTGAGTAGGAAGCTTGAGGAGCAAGTTTCTCAGAGTTCCATGAAAAACGAGGATCTGAATTGGAGTTTCCCCCTCACTGGGCTCTGCTGGGGCCACTTATCCACTTCCCTGTGACTCTGATGTAGAGCCATGTGACATGGCACTCACGGATAACGTGCCCAGAACCGAGGGCCATGCCTTAGCTAGTGCGTCTGCAGTCAGCTGAGAAGCTGCGGGGCGTGTGAGGCCCCCACGCCCCCCACCTTAAGTTCCACGAGCATCGCTTACTCTCTCCTCCAGGTGACGAAGAGCTCGAAGCAAGCACGGATACTCCTGAGCATGAGACTTCCTGTCCCTTCGTAACGACAGCCACTACAGGTACTGCTGTGGGTATGGCTCCATGAAGACGAAGCCTGGCCATTAGCTCGTAACTCAGGAAAGGGAGGACGGTGGGCCTGGAGCGGCCCCTCCAGCACGCGGGTCAGGGCTGCCCCACTGGGTGTTGAAAGTGGTTGGCCCTTCCCCCGTCCCCAGCAGGCCTCCTGACGCTCAGACCCCTCAGAAGCAGGTGTCAGGAAGGGGAGACGCAGACTGGGGTGGTGCCTTGAGGGAAGAATGAGCTGCTTGCGCGTGGCCCCCCTTGTCTCTGACAGCTGTCCCTTCGGCCTCTGAGGTTTTGGCTCACGGAGAAGCCCCAGCGCCCTCCAGCCTGTGCAGCCCCATAATTAGCATAAACAGGTCCTATTCCCCTCTCTCTTTGGCACAGATTTTCAAAAACAAACAGAAGTGGCTGCGACCGTGGAGCCGTTCATATTCACCACCGAGTACCAGATAGCAGGTGGGCTGGGGTCGCTTCTGTTGTGGACGACACGTTCACGAGGAGGGACTGTGGGACACGTTGCTGGGTGGGGGCTGGGTTTTAAATGGCCCCCTCCTTACACTATATAACGTTTATGAGAGTAAACGACTAATCCAGATAGTAGCGTAGCTCAGAGTCACAGCGGTCAGTGACAGGAGGCTGTGAGCGAAGCCACACACCGGCCCCGAGCAGTTGCTCTTGAATGGGTGCGAAGTGACACAGGACCCCAGGCCTGTGCGTGAGGGGTGAGGCGAAGGGCGGAGGCAGCAGAACCGGGACGAGAGAAAAAACATTCCAGAAACACTACAGTTGTTTCCTGGTGGGAGGGAACAACAGACTTTGCCACAAGAAAAAAAATAAAAATAAAAACGTCTCGTAGAAACGCTGAGCAAGATGGCGGTCACCAGGGAGGGGGTGGGACAGACTGGGACATGTGAGGAAGGACACACACGTCCAGTTAGGGGATAGGTCCTGGGGACGGAGTGCACAGCATGAAGACTTTCCGTGCACAATGCTGCGTCGTACGCTCGAACGTGGCTAAGAGACTAGATTTAAACGTTCTCTCCACAAAAAAGAAACGCTAATTATGTGACCCGATGGAGGTGTCAGTTGACGTTATGGGGGTGGTCACTTGGCAACATGTAAGTGCTTCAAACCAGCATGCTGTGCACCTTAAATCCACACAATGTCTATGCCAAGTGCATCTCAAGAGAGCTGGGGGGAAGGAAGAAAAACAGGCTTTGACAGACAGACAGACAGACAGGTAGATGATAGATTGATGGACAGATAGATGAATAGGTAGATAGATAGGCAGACAGACAGGTAGGAAGATAGACAGGTACGCAGGTAACTAGGTAGGTAGATAGGTAGGCAGGCAGGCAGGCAGGCAGGCAGGCAGGTAGCTCACTCCAGCACCATTTGGGAAAGTCAAATACTTTCAAAGGTCGCTAAAGTGTTTATTGTTTATCTTTATATTTCGACATTTCTTTCACCATCGCAGACCTGGGGCCTGGCCTTTGACCCTTTCTGAAGAGAGTTCCCAGCTTGCTTTCCCCAGAAAGAGCCGGCCCTTGGGGGAAGGGCGCCCCACGCTGCCCCAGGCCCCCAACCTCGCCCAGCCCCAGTCCCTAGCCTCCCAGGAAACCCTGATGGGGACGGGGCTGCATGCGGGGAGGGAAAGCAGAGCCCACGGCTTGCGGAAATCCTGGCTCCTGAGGACACTTCCTCAGCCCGCTCTGTGACACATCCGGCTGACCCATTTCTCTGTCCACAGTGGCCTGCTGCGCCTTCCTGCTGGTCAGCACCCTCCTCCTGAGCGGGCTCGCCTGGCAGCGGAGACGGTGAACCCCACACCCAAGAAGCCCCGGCGCAGGAAAAGCACCTGGGCAGAGACCCCTTGGCGGGGTGAGGAGAACTGGCCAGCGCCCACTCACCCTGAGTCATGGCAGGGGAGCGCGAAGGGAGCCAACACTGGTCGAGGCCCACTGGACACCGGGCTCCACGCTCATCTAATGCACGTAGCCACCCGCCTTCTCAGAAACCTGCGCTCAGGCCTCCGAGTAATGTGACCCAGGCTGCGAGCTGAGGCCAAACTGCCTCCCGGACTCACAGCCATGGCCCTTCCGCCCGTCACCATGCCTGCCCTGAGCTCCTCTCCCCACCCGCCGCCTGCAGCCAGGACGGTGACGTGTGTGGCCTTACCGGGACTAACTCAGATGCTCCATCCTGGCTGCAGGGTAGAACACCCAGGAGAGATTTTTTTTTTTTTTTAAATAACAATGCTCGGGCCCCAATGGGAATCTCTAGGGGTGGGCCCCAGACATCGGTGGTTTTAGTTTTTTCAATTGAGATAAAATTCATCTTTTTAAACAATATTCAAGTACATAATCCAGTGATATTTAGCACATTAGATCATTTCCATCACCCCAAAAAGAAACCTCACATTTCCCAATTCCCCATGTCCCCCACTTCCTAGCACCCACTAATCTACCTTCCGTCTCTATGGATTTACCTGTTCTAGACATGTCATAGAAACAGACTCATACGATATATGAAATAAGCGCTTTTTAAAAGCTCCTCAGAGGCGTCTGACACGTAGGCATCCGGTTTTGACTGCCCTGCACCAGGCCGGTGGGTCTCAGACCTGAGTGGTGTCAGAGTCTCCTGGGGGGTGTGTTCAGATCCAGAATCTGATTCAGC